GCCATAAACCATGTAATATTTCAAACAGATGGCAGAGAGAGAATAAGGATTTGTGTTGTTATTTTGCATTATAACAGAGATTAGATGGTTATACGGAGAGGGTTGCAAAGACAAAACATGAATGAATCAAAAAAATAAAAAGAGAAAATCAAAGAGAGATAGGATTTCGCAAAAGATTAGAATGAAGTAAGATACCATCATTCAAAACTAATAATGAGAGAAAACAATGAGTGATTTAGGCAGAAACAGAAAGAAACAAAGGAGGCTATATTCCAACAATGTCTAATCTCCATGAGGACGCCTGTCTGCTATCGACCCAGATAACACTGCAGGCTGTGTATCATGAGATTTGGGGCAAAAGGTAAACAGGAAATCAAAACAATCTAATTCTGTTTGAGGTTGAAGGGAAAGAGAAAATGGATGTATTGTCCATCCCTACATAGCATGTGAAAAGTAATGGTATCCTTTGTTAAGGCTCCTATGACTCACTCCTTCGAAGAGGACGTCTGTCCACACATCACCAGCACTCTGAACCACTGAAGAGTGTGTGTCAGCTCTGATGTTGGGCAGAGGGGAAAGTTATTTGACTCAAATTCTCAGTGTATTATTAATATCTAAGGCAGAGGATTCTGTAAGGTTATTTGATATTGAGAAATTTTTTCCTATGAAAATAGTTATGTGCATTAAACTGGGGGTGAAATTGATACTTACTGTATATCAACTGCTGCGCTTCAAGTTGCAAAATGATGTTCAGAATACAAAGCCTAGAGCGAAGTAACAGCCAGGCTATTGGATTTTGAAAAATTCCTCACAAGAAAGCTTCACCAACCGAGGCAAGTGAGACTCATCACCCGGGGCCTTCTGGATGCCCGCTGGAGGAGGTTTTTGGAAATAATATCCTGGAGAAAATTACAGCTCTGAACAATTTGTTTTATTCAGAATGCAAAGCTCTCTCACCGATTTCTCCTGGTTATCCTCCTAGTGGGCGACAGCCAGAATATGCTATGAGAATGACAGAAACAAGGTGGCAATGAAGGGAGAGAGTAGGGATCTGGGTCAGAGAGGCAAGGCATAGATTTAAATGCCATCAAATGCACGGTGAAGCTCTGAATGGCAGCATACAGTATAAACACAGTGCAATATACACTGAGTGTGTGAGTATATGTGTGTGTAAGAGGGGTAGGGAGTGTGTATGTATGTGTATGTAAGGGTGAGAGAGAGAAAGAGTGCTTACAGTGAAAAGCACATCAGAAAATGTACTTAAGAGTACAATAGCAATCCTGAGCCTTGCCAGGAGGGTTACGGACGGATATGGTCACCTTAATACAGACATTCACGCCATTCAGTCTGGCTGATGAGTTACTGGATGGATCTAATTTTCAAAATAGAGCCAAGCATCGGTGAAGTTTCTAAAAACAAAGTGATGACTGTAGAGAAAATCTCCAGATCCCTTTGCGAAGCTACACAGGGGACGTCAGCATCGTTATAGCTCAGATACTGACATGTCCAAAAGAAGTGCATGCACACATCAGAATTGACCAAAATCCCCATTACCTCTCACTCTCACTCTCTAACACACACACCACACACACACACACACACACACACACACACACACACACACACACAGAAATTGAGGGCTGCCCAAAACCACCAGTAACCCAAACAAAGTCCAAGGTCAGCAGAGTGGGCTCACAGAGCTGAAACCACCAACCCTGGCTTTCATTACCAGGAACAGAATCAGCAGAGGGATGTAGGGACACATGGGATGAGGTTACGTTAGCTGGCTCTGTTTATTTGAGTGAGTCTGGCCAGGGCCCAACTCATACTCTCTCGTCTGTGGGATACAAAACACATCGTGATTATTGTTGATCCAAATATCAAACCTTCAAATTATTTTTACAACGGAGTCCTTTTCTGCACAGCTGAATCAGACTCCACAAAACAGAAATGTTGTTACACGTGTGTGTGTCTGTGTGTGTGTGTGTGTGTGTGTGTGTGTGAGAGAGAGTGTGTGTGTGTGTGTGTGTGTGTCAGTCATTCAGTGTGTAACATTAACCAGGCCAGGCAGAGCTTTACCTCTAATGGTGCCCAGAGTGTGAGGGGTAAAGAAGCTGTCATAACTCTAATAAAAACTAGGCATAAAAGACAGCAGACGTCCTCAGCACTGACTGTGTCATACATACAGTACATGTACATATGCACACACACCCCGACTGCTGTTTCTCTGCTGTCCATGTAAAGGCTTTTTTTAGGGAAACAGTAATCAATTTGCTGCTAGAACTACTACCATCTGACCTTACATAATCAACACTCAACTCATAATGTGCATATGCAAGTCAAATGTTATCATTAAATGTCCACTTTACAATCCAACTTAATAATATGCCAGCACAAACTAGGCAGTGTCCTGTTTTTATGTGCGTTTCAGCCATTGACTTTGGTAACAGGCAGGGGTTTTCCATATAAATGGAGAGTGAATCAATTCACTGAGCAGGAACAATGCAGGGTGTAGAATTTATACTCCTAAATGTTTATTGGACCAACTGTGTTTATCAATGGAAGGCCTCAGTTGGCCTGAACACCCACAATTTTTGGGAAGTGATCTAAATGCTGCTCATTAAAGGAAGATTAATCAAAGTCGTGAAAAGCTGAAAATGACTCATGACAAGGCTGAAAATAAAAATGACTAACAAACAGAGAAGCTGAAGGAATTATTAAAAAGTGAGGAGTAGATTTACATATAGATGCAATGCAAGAGCTGAACAAAATCTATACACTTTGGAGAATATATCTAAGATAGTATCATAACAATTGCAATGTAGCAAAGATTTAGTTGTGGCTTTGTTATCGTTTTTGCTGTGACCGTTTCAATGGAGAAGTTTTATTTTTTTTGTTATTATTCATTTTAGGCAATTTGGTATTTCAGATTGACTCAAATGATAAAATGTGAAATGTAACACCCTCCTCCTCCCTACTGACCTCCTGTCTAGACCCAGGCATCCTCCCCATCATGACCAAGGTCCTAGTTCTGTCCTTCCCATTATTACCCTCGTGGCTAACATGAATATATATATGTTTGTGCGTGTGTATGTGTGTGCGTTAGTGTGCGTGTGCGTGAGTGTGTCATTACTCCTGCCCCCATCTGACGGTTTTGGGTTAAACAATGTTATTATTAAAGCCTTTCCAGAGTAGCTTCCTGCCTGCCTCCAGTGACACCCTTACCAACTATAAATCAACTGCCTGAGCCCTGTAAATCACATACGATGTGTGTGTGTGTGTGTGTGTGTGTGTGTGTGTGTGTGTGTGTGTGTGCAGATATGTGTGTGTCTGACCACTGCAGCTGTGCTCTCAGACGCACATGAAGACGACATTGCAGCTGTGAGCGTGTCACATGTTACTTCCTTTCAAACAACACAGAGGAAACAAATGATAAATGTTAAATTAAAGCAGATGCTTTGAATGTGATTTAAGGGAATACTATGAATGAATTACAAGTCTGCATGTTTTATGAGTGGAGACTGTTTGTTTGGTCTGATAACACAGCAATGTTTGAGACGTGTGTTGTGTGGCTTACATTAGGAAAAAAAAAGTGTGCAGTAAAATCACACTAAAGCAACTATTGTTAGTGGTAAATTGAATTCCTGAAACTAAAAACAACCCCGTTAGACCACTAAAGATTAGTTTCTGTTTGAAAGGAGACACAGAGACAATTTCATCTCCCCAAGACCAAACCAGATAAATAATGCTCTCTGAAATAAATGGCTCCTGTGCAGCCGTGATGGCTCATTCTGTGATTGTTTGTGATTGTGTTGACACCCCCTGCTGGGCTGAAGACATCACTACCACACGGAGAGCAAGCTCACTACCAGCGACAATGTCCCATATCCAATCCCACTTCCTGCCAGGCTACAATATACTGGAGTTAATGAAACACTAAAATAAAGCTGATACCTTCCTCCAGACTTATAACACTGCAGCAAAGGACAAACACAAATATAAACACAAGAGAGAAAACAACCAAAAAATAATATACTGAACCCTATACTGTACTGTATATCCTTTGTCTAAAACGCCTGTGTGTGAGTGTCTGTGTGCACGCGCACACTCAAGAGAGAGAGTCTAGACAGCTGTATCCTCGCCAGGTCTCTCTCTGCTAAGGAGAGTGAGAAATATATACTGTGCAGCTGCCGAAGACACAGTCGACCCACAAAAGAGCTATTGTGCGCCCACAGCAAAACAATACAGCTTAGCTGAGCTATGAGAAAAAAACCATTGGGATCAATAGAGAATTGCAATTAGCCCACATTGGCAGGAGCAGTGCCAGATTAGACACAGGATGTCGATTCCATTTCCTGCACTATCGGGCCCTCAAACTTGGTAGGCTCACTGTGTAATTGGAGCAACACACATACAACTGGGTAAGACGCCGTAGTGTGAAGGTGATGATGAGGATGAAGATGGCGATAATAATAATAATAATAATAATAATAATAATTTTGAAGAGGGTTGAGCAATGTCAAAAACATTTCTAGCACTCATATGCAAAAAGTAACACACAAGCATTTGGAGTGGAATAAAAAGCATGTATCAAACCCACATGCATTTTTACATAAAACTGTTCACAACATGTTTGTGTGGTGCTTTGTCTGAAGCCCTCAGTTATTACATTGCAACACCACATTACAACAGCAGACCAATGTAGTGACCTTAAAGCTGCTCCTGTAATTCACAGCTACAGTTGTAATCATCCTCAGCTTCAAACACTTGAATCAAAATACAGAATTCAGTCTTTTACCTTCTACATCAATTTATTCAGATGCATAACTGCAACTTCATTAATCTGAAATTGACATACATGACCTCACATTGAAAAGAAAACTCCTCACCACACACTTTTCATTTCAATGGCCTTAATGCAAAGAGGGGATTCTTTTTCTCACACTGTAAATCTTCTTGACAAAACTTAAAAGCACTGACCCACCAATTAAAGGTCTTACCTTTAAGTATGCCCTGGCCTTGCAGTACATCCCTTGAAATCAGCACAGAGTAGAAGCTTTGTGAGAAGCCAGCTCGACAGGGACCTTTGGAAGCGTGCTCCCCATTATTCCTCTGGAAGGAAGAGAATACAATGTAAAACATCTATAAACATGGATTGCATTGATATCTTGCTTGTCTGTGGACCCGAGCCTTGGAGAAAAGCTGCATATGTTGCAGCAGTTAACAGAAATATATTCAACAAGTTGAATATTGTTTAATCGCTGTATGACAATGTCTGATAAAATGTGCAGCACAACTTGCTCCCTAAAGAAACCAGGCCATGATGAAACGAGGACCGTTTTTAAGTGAAAAGGAAAACTGCATGAATGCAGCAGAATTTTCTCATTGACTGTGAGACTTACACTAGCAGAGGCTTCGGAGAGCTAAGGAGGAACTGAGCAACTGAGCAGTGTACAAAGTGTGTGTGTGTGTGTGTGTGTGTGTGTGTGTGTGTGTGTGTGTGTGTGTGTGGGTGTGGGTGTATGTGTACACTACTCAAACGCTCTGCAGAAAACTTTGCACCTAACATGGTTAAACTGAAAGATGTGACCCACTACAGCACAAGTAAACGAGCCATCGCGGGCTCACACACACACACACACACAAACACCGATGCCAACGCTGGCTGGAGAATTAACAGGAGGCTCAACGCACGCAAGTGGAAGAGAATAACACAGGAGTATAATATCTTTGAGTAATAGCCAATTTTTTTCTAAATATGAGAGCCGTGGCTTTAGTCACAAAAGCGCAGAGAGAAAGATTCAGCAGAGCCACTCGGTGCGCCGTTCAGAGTAGCCCACAGCCGCCGACTTAATTCAGCCTTTTATTGATTAAATGACGAGAAAAGGTTGAAAAGCACCTTACTATAACTAAAGTTGAACTTATTGCAGTCTATTACTTTTTGGTCGGAGAAGCATTTGTGGAGGAAGGCGCTGCTATAATAAGCGAGATGATGATAGTTTGATGAAGAATAAAGAGGTATCACCCTTGGCGATTAAATTGTGCAGTCATTTTAACTTGTGTAGGATATTGCAGCCCGGTGGTGAACCCCGTAGAGAACCAGAGGAAACCTGACGAGGATCAGAGTGGACAATACTGGATCGTTAACTCTTACGTTCTTCTTTATTTGTACCCCCCCGTTACACAGTGGAATTCATTAGGGAACCAATTAGCGCACTTGTAGGGAAATAACGACCCGGCGCTGCGCTGCTGCAGCAGCACACTGGACTGACACTGGACTCCATCCGACTACATGACTTTATTCAAGCTTATGCGCTATTGCTTTCAAAACGCTGCGTCTCGTACTCTCATAACTCCTCTACACAGATCAAGCTGTACTAAAAAAACATAAAGAATAAAAAAAGAGAGAGAAATCTCACCCAGAATGTGTCAAGAAGAAGGGCTGCTGTCAGGACCAGAGCGAAGTCAGTTCTCATCGTGGCGAACAAGCGAGCCAGGGCTGCCTGGACGAGGAACCAGTAAAAGAGGGTCGATTCGTAATTCTTCTCCAATAATTGTGTAAATCCCCCCCTTTTCTTGGTTAGACTGTCCGTTACGTCCCTCCCTGCGCTCCGCGAGTGTGCTGCAGCTCTGCCCCGACTTTCCCCGGCTCTCTCATCTGCAGGTGAGCGCTCCGCTCAGCACTAAGGCGCAGCCAGCGTCACTCTCCAACCCCTCCTATCACCCGGTGCAGGAAAACTCCACACACGCACTTAAAGAAACACTCGGTTGGAGCTTTGGATCAAACAACCACACCTCTGACGTCTTTAAGAGGACCCCGGTATTTTATACCCCTCTCTTTAGTTGTATGGTTGCAAATGAAAGGCTCGGTAAACCATAATTTCCCGGTCTCTATGCGCAAATGTATGGCAAACTCATTAGCCGTCAAACTTCCAACACTGCTTTACAAGCATGTAGCTTCAACATCTGATATGTTCATTATTAGATTTCGACAGTTAACTAATCGTGCAGACGTGCGGGGCACTGAAACCTTTCCATTACTATGATTTCAAAATTCTACACGGTTTCATTTAGACAAACTTAGAATAACAGAGTAGCTACAGATGCAGTAGGTAGGCCTATTCCACATAGTCTGCAGATGATCAGCACAAGTGAACAAATAGGACAGCATTCTTTAATCTTTTGATCAGACTACTTATTTAACTCTGTACAAAGAAAAAGAAAATCAGAACAGCAGTGCATCAAATTGATGGGTTCTTAAGCTTGTCCCTGTATGATAAGATAATAAGACTAGTAGATTTTTGTGGTCAAATGGAATTTTTAATTATTTGTTTTCGATTAAGTGTTCAGACTTGAAGGCTACAGTGTGCAACCGCCACTGTCTACCTCACTAATTAAAGTTTATTTTAGTTTATATTTGGCTGAAATGTGAAGACTTTATATGAATACAGAACTGTATGTGGATGTTGACCCTGTTTTGTGGGAGCTGTTGTATCTCTTGGTAGGCCTTGATCATTTGTATGACATTTATTAACTAAGTCAGGGAATGTTCAGAAGCAGTTTTCTGTTTGTAGGTATGCAATTAATACTGCTGGACTTTGATTATCACACAGGTTTGTTTCACCGGCTTTTATTTGATGAACTCACAAATACCCAGCCTGCCTTTTTCAACAAATCTAATACTGTCTTTGAGACTGTAAAAGAGGAGTTTCATCAAAAGAAAAGTTGAACAAAGGTCACTTCAAAAGGTTTTCAGTGTGAATTCAAATGTCTCACAAAAAACAGAACTTCGCTCTCTTTGAACTGAGCTTCTTTTGCCAAAAAAATGTTTCTGACTAAAAAGGGTTGACAAGGCCATGTCCGAGTATTACCTTGCATCTGTGTGGATGCAGTGCAATACAAGCTCTTACCATTAGCAGTTTATGTGCCTGTGTCTTGTGGCTACATAAAACCATATAAAAAAAAAAAACTGAATAATATGGAGGCTGGTTTTTCTGCCTGGCCTTTTGAGCTACTAATGACCTTTATATTCTGCTGTCTCTGATTGGCAGACTGGTCTCCATATCTGCTTAGTGAGCCAATGGGGTCTAATCCTATCAAAAAGAGTATGACTCTGCATTAGTGGGCGGCTGCTCAGCCAATTTCCTCTGTGTGACATCCAGGCATTTTACCACCTCTCTCATCCCAGTCCCTCAGTCCCAAGGATGAGCTCCAACACCCCTATCCACATTGCTTTTTTTTCCTGATAGGCTCTGTGACATGGTTATGATTTTTGTCCTGTTAAATGCTGTGACTGGCAGGTCTCTCTCTGACTCTGTCGGTCTGTGTGTGCTGTGTGTGTGTGTGTGTGTGTGTGTGTGTGTGTGTGTGTGTGTGTGTGTGTGTGTGTGTGGCCCAGAGAAGGTTTATGTGGTAATGTCAGAACAACTCTTTCACCCGTCAGAATAATGATATGATGATTGTGCAAAATTGGATTTATTCCTGCAATATCCATACCAAGCAGCTACAGAGTGGTTAGCTAAGGTTAAGGCTGACTTGGTCAAGGCTTGGCACAAAAGTTGTGGTTAGGGCGAATGGTAATGTAGGGATAAGGCACGGTTAAGAGTAGTGGTCATGGTTTAAAAAAATGCCATTTTTGGATAGGTGTGGGTATATTTGCACTGAGCTGAGCCATGAGCAACTGTAACTATTCAAGCCATGCTGGCACAGTGCGCATGGTTTACACAGGGCAGCAGCTAAAAGGCGTTGTTTACCTTGACGATGTGTTGAAGACGTGCTGGTGCACACACACCCAAGTACAGCCTGTCATCTGAATCTCTTCATCCACCAGCACACTCTGGCTGTTTCTGTTTGTACTTTTCCCCCTTGCAATATTTAGAATACAGTGAAACAAATCACGCAAAATACAGTAAGTCCACATCTTGTTGTTGTAAGACTGATTTGTATGGAAGAAATGCACTTCTAACTAAGTGCTAGCTCCTAGCAGCAGGAAATGTAGTTTTATTCCTCCTCTAGCTTACTGTTCCCATGGCCACATACATGACACTCTTCATCTGTAATGCTATTGTGTTAGAGGTGGAAATTATGAATCACTTTGCTGATTCAAAGCATGTCCTTAAGTTCAGTTCTGTTGTAGTCACTGACTATGATGGCAGTACAAGCACTGGTGTCAGTGTTCATTCTGAATGTCTTCAGTTCAGCAGTGCATTCAGTTCTGGCATATACAAGCACTTTTAAAAGCTCAGCAGCCACCTATTTGCAACAGAGTTATCGCTTCACAATCACTTCTGTAGCTTTTAGTAAGCTTTTAACCATGTAATAAATACTGTTAATCACAGCTGAGCTGACAACTGTGCTCTCAGTTACCAGTGAGGGGAGCTCCACTGCTGAAAGCTACTGATTTGTTCAGTGACAAGGGGGAGTCTGTAGTCAGTTCAGTCTGAAGATCTATCAAAGATTTGTTCATACATGTACTAAACACCTCTGCAGCCGTAATGGATGTCGGCATGCATGTAAATTAAGTGCTGCAGAGCTGCTAAAGATGAACTTCCTTAGGACACTGAGCTGTTTTAGATTGACAGCCTTTATAATCTCAGCCAGAAGTCTTCAGAGAAACAGCGCTTTTCAACTTGTAAGTCAGTCTTTATAATATTTATATGAAATTTTCAAAATTGCAATATTAGAAACTATTTTGCAGTTTTGTTGGTTTACAGCGTCACTTTAAGCATAGTTCTCTGTTGACTAATGAAGTGTATATGTACCCAGGACTCCCTGGTAAGCAGCTGAAATGATTAACCTGGTTAAATACATCACGATTCCTATTTCCAGTTATTATTTATGCACTCATGAAAACATAGTTATGCTTATACTCCATTTCTGCCAACAGATCCTCTTAAATGTTACACACTAGACCTTTAAGCATCATGCTTTTTTATTGAGCACTGGAAATGCAGATACTGCATCCAAAACAAAATTATTCAAGTTCTTAGTGCAGTTATTACTGTCTGTTTGACTTTCTTTCCATCAATAAATAACTGCTCATTTTTGTTTTGTTTCAGGGAAGTGTTACATTTGGAATGCTAATGAAAAAAAAGCCATTTTCTTCCAGGTACTAAAAGTAGAAAGAAAAATTGAACATGGACGCAGAAGTCCAGTCCTGCAGTACATCTGTATTTTTTGAAAAAGACCAACAGCATGATCTTTGATTGATGATTTTACAGCGCAGTTCCTCCCTATGCAGACATGGACTTGTTATACTTGCTTTGAAATGTTTGAAGCCCTTCTGTATCCCTTCGTGGCATTTCTTAAGAAAAAACAACAGAGGTACTACACGGCTAAAGGGCAGAAGTTCAGAATTTCACTGTTTAAACATGGTTTTCCAGTGCCTTTGGACAGTTCATGCTGTACTGTTGAGCCTTCATCACATGGCCCAAAACACACAAAAAAATCTAAATTTACTAAAAAGTCAGATAATCAATCAGAATAATATGATTGGGAATGCAAATTTCCTTCATTATAATTATTGACGTAATTTTCATACCATATGTCTGAGATATTGATTTTATTGGTAAAGAAACTATATATGATTCAGTACGGGGAGGCAGGTTGGTGGGGTGATGGAGAGTAAGGGAAGAGCAGTAGGGAGGAGGTGGGAGAAGGGTACGAGGGTGGTAGGGAGGACGAGAAGGAGGGGAGGGGATCTCTGGTCAACTCATTTAGTTTTGCTATCAACATAATTGTTATTTTGTTTATTTATATTTATTTAACCCTTTGTTAGTTCTAATGTACCCCCTTTTATTGTATTTGAACCGTTCTTCATTCAATCTGTTACTCTATTTTGATATTACCTGTGTACCTATTACTTGGTTACCTAATAACCTTGTTGCCATGCACAATTATATGGGCTATGAAAATGAGCGCTGATTGCACACGGGTTCAATTCAATGTCTCAGTGCTTTGTTGCATGTCAGCCCCTCTTTCCTGTCTACCATTAGCTGCCACTATAAAACATAAAAAGCCCCCAAAAAATGCAAAAGTTTTATTTAGTGCAGTGTCCTTGCATAACGTTAGATCAAAGCAATCTATGCTTTAAGCTTAGCTGTAGCTTTAGGCATTGATAGAGCAGTTTTTGTTCATAAATAGGTTAAGTACTGAACTGCTCTGTGATGTAGATACAACTTTGTATATGATTTTTCTTGTTGAGCAGTAATGCTGACAGTACAATTATGTTAAGTAAAGTTTTTTTTATAATATAAGATATTTTTTACTTATGGTCAAATTGTGTTTTTTTTTTTTTTCATTCTTTCCTACAATTCACATAAATCAATCAAAAACTGCAATCTGACCCATACATAGTTAAACAACACAAACACCACAACAACACAACGGGTACATTTAAGTATAGTTAACTATGTGTCAGATAACAGTTAGTTAGAACACATTAGCTCGGCAAACTAGCTGCTGTCAGCATCTACCACTAAGCTAGGTTATCAATCATTAACGTTAAACCCGTGAGATGACATTATAATTATGTTGTTGGACAAATATGAAAACATGCTCACTCACTCAGTAGTCAGCTTTTCGTGCCTGTTATCATTTGTTTCTCTCTGCTTATCTTTGGTGACAGATGTACAGGCATTGTGTTGACCCATCCAAACGACTTCTGTTTTTATCAGCAGCAGAAAGGGAAACAAC